ATTTTTTGATCAAATTGAAATGAAATAGGTATTTATTTGCACAGAATGATGATGAGCAGCAATACGAAGATACGGCTTATGGCAATGAAGAGATAGGACCGCATACGGATGGTACATATTTTGAGGCGACTCCTGGAATTCAAGTACATCTCACTTCGCAACTTTTTTCCTCTCGCTGTTCCGATTCAAATTACTCTTGCAAACAAGCTGATGTTAAGATCAATGTTCCGTATAAAAACGATTGTTGTGAAATGAACAGAGAATTTCTCTGTCAGACTTTCAAAAGGTCCTACGAATAGGAATTCTTGACGAGGTTTTTGTTTTGCGCAGGTATTTCACTGCTTGAAGCCGGCGACAAAGGGTGGCGGTGAGACGATTTTGGTTGATGGTTTCGCAGTTGCTGAGCAAATTCGATCGCAAAACGTCGCAGATTTTGATTTGTTGACAACAGCACCAATTGAGCATCATTACGTCGAAGGTGGAAGCAGTCCATCGAATGCGAAAATTTATTCATGCTGCTCTAATAAACCAGTTATTGAGATCGACCATGAAGGAATGCTCAAACAAATAAGGTTCATGACTAGCGCTTGGAATTAAAGTGTTTCGTCTGGACTGTTATTACTAAATTAGACTGCTCCGCTCTGAAGTGAGCCTCAGCTTAAGCTTCAGCGCCCTTTTGTTTTGTAAGCATGAGAGAAAATGTGTGCGGGAGTGCAGACATTGTAGAACTAATTTTTTTACAGATATAATCCATACGATCGAGCACCAATGAGGATCACATCAACTGATGATATAATCAGATTCTATAAGGTATCTTCTTTATCGCGCTACTTCGTTTTCAGTTCAAACAAATGTTAATCTTCTGCTGAGCCAAAAGCGCGATAATACGCCGATTATGAACATTTCACTTCGAAACGATACATTTTTGTTCTAATTCGTCGGCACAATGATTTTTTCCGCTGTTTTGAAGGCTTATGAGCGATTATCGAAGTTGGTAAATGATACTAAAAATCAACTCGAAATATCTTTGAAACCCGGAAACGTGATTTTTATCGATAATTTTCGAGTACTTCATGCGCGAAAAGCGTTTCAGGTGGGTTAAATAATTTCATTGTTCTCTCACTAAAATGTCTCACTTTGACGATTTGTTAGAGTGAGAAATTGAAAAACTAGAATTTTCGGATTTACTTACTGAAGTTTCACAATATTTGTTAAACTATCCAATTCGTTGTCAGTAAGAGACGTTTGATGTTTGCAAATGCGACTTAGAAAAGCTTGAGACAGAACCTGAGGAGCTATCGATCCGTTCACTGTTCATTTGATTGAAACACTTGAAAATTGACCTATTGCCTGTCAACAGTGACACTTCGAACGTTTGACATATCTTACGACATTCTGCAATTTCGCATTCTTTCTCAGTCTCAACTCAGTTCCACTCTTGACTGAGCGTCATAAATTCTCACCAATCACTATCCATCCACAAACAACAAACACCTCCTCAATAAGCCTCTCTCCGCTGGTTAACCTCTCATTCAATTGAATGTCTTTACGTTAGATGTCCGTCATCCGAAATGCTTAGCGCAGCACCAAGTATCTTTCAATGATCAGCATCAGTGCCGTTATCATTTCAACTACCGTTATCTTGATGAAGGTTATTCTGCTGGCAGAACTGACGGTGGCAAGTGAGGGCGAAGCGAGACTGTATCGAGATTTGCTGCAGAATTATAGCGTTCTGGAACGACCGGTGGAGAGTGCCGCTGAGAGACTGCTCGTGCGAATGCGCATTTATTTGCAGCAGATTCGAGACGTCGATGAACGCAATCAAAACGTCGCAATTTACGTTTGGTTGCGTTTCATTTGGCACGATTATCGACTGCGGTGGAATCCGCAGCTTTACGGTGGTGTCGCAGACGTGCGATTCCCATTTGATGGTGCAGCGAACGGCGATGAGGACGTACAACTATGGCGCCCAGATATTTTACTTTACAATAGTGTTGACGAGAGTTTCGATGCGACATATAAGAGTAATTTTCTGGTGTATAGTTCGGGCGAGGTAAATTGGATACCACCTGGCGTGCTGAAGTTCAGCTGTCCCATTGATATCACATGGTTCCCGTTTGACGAACAACTCTGTCAACTCAAATTCGGTTCGTGGACATTTCACGGTGATGCGTTGGATTTGCGATTAGATGAAGACATGGAAGCGTTGGGAGAGACGGGTGAGGATGGAGACGATAGTGTGTTCGTTAGACATCAGATGGATCTGAGTGAATATTTACGGAATGGTGAATGGGATTTGTTGGCGACGCCGGCCGAACATGTCGTCACCTATTACAGCTGTTGTCCAGAACCGTATCCAACGCTTCACTTTCAAATGCATTTACGAAGACGAGCGCTGTATTATGGCCTTAATATGATTATTCCTAGCCTATTGGTTACTCTCATGACTGCACTCGGCTTCTTGTTACCACCGGATTCTGGCGAGAAGGTCACTTTAGAGCTGAGCATTCTTCTCTCAGTGTGCTTCTTTTTGAGTTTAGTGGCCGATCAAACGCCTCCTACAAGCGAGGCTATACCACTGTTGGGTGTGTTCTTTCTGTGCTGTATGATGGTCGTCTCCGCGTCTGTTATCTTCACTGTTATTGTACTGAATCTGCACTCACGTTCCTCCGAAACGCACTCTATGTCACCATTTTTTCGACGAATCCTTCTCAACTGGTTACCTTGGTTTCTTATGATGCGACGTCCAGGCCAAATTTTCCATCGAGGTTATGCATTTCCAGCTGGAACATCCCGACGGCTCGCTAGCATTATCCGCAAACAACGGCTTCTTCCTACTGAATCACCACCACCATTCGCATCAACCTCAGCATCGCTACCAAAAGCGTCAAGCTATTCGAATAGATCTGAAAGAATATGGAAAAGTGCTGAGCTTCTAGACGGAGTGGATATGAATTTTGAGAATGATCAATGTGAGCGTGAAAGCAACGACAATAACGATACGTCAGCGTGGGATGCTCAGATTCTTATTTTGCATCGAATTTGTGAGCAACTTGGTGAGATTTGCACGAATATGCAGAATGAGGATGCGAAGGAACGTGACGAAAATGACTGGCAGTATGCAGCGATGGTTGTCGATCGAGCTTGTTTGATCTGCTTCTCGCTGTTCATCATGATATCAACCTCTGTGATTGCCATTCGCGCACCATACTCAACTTTCACATAACGCAATCTCGTCTAACAGCTTTTTTGTTATCCTTGTGATTTTGAAGTGTAGGTTTACCAAAATTACGACTTATATGGCTCAAGCCTTTTTCATAGGTTCCTAGTGAGGTACAGAAAGTATTTAACTTGTATTAACGGAATGACATAAACAAAGTTCACGATAAAACGTCGTCTTTTTTCATGGTCTTATGCTTCCGGCTTGGAGGGGTGTTCATTTATAATAGTTTGAAAAAGCTCTGAAATTTCACTCATCATTTAGGAGAATTATTTCGATAATGGCATTCAGTATATTCGATTGCTTTCAGGGTGAAAGGCGTATGTGTGGCTGCTATTTGTCACGTGAGAATTTTATTGCTTTAAGACGATGTCTTCTCGAAGGTGCATACCAGAAACTGGTTTAAGAGATATATTAGATAGTTTCCGTTCCATGA